CACGACGGGAACAAGGACAAATGTTCTACACATGTCGTGAGAAACGAAGGGCAGAGGGGGTGTTGATAGGGGAGATTTAGGCAACTGGGAAACCATATACCACATAGACTCATGTATAAGCCAAATTTCTCAGCATATTTTTTAATGCAGCTTTTGTGGTAAAATTAGGTGCCTCGGCTGATATTCGGGTTGGCTTATACTTGAGTATATATAGTAAGTCATTAGAAACTTCTAGTTTATTCTGAAACCAGGGTTTTTAGAAAATATATGACCTTTCAATTTCGTATTTTAGAAAGCTCTCTCTTCCTGTGGAGAATGAACATAAAGGGTGCACAAGTAGATGTTTATACTTGTAGATCACTTAAGAGGTTGCTAGCGTAGATGGGGGAGATTATATATAGTATATGTAGTCCAGGTAGCAATAGTAGAAAATCAGAAAAGTGGTGAATTCAAGCATTTATCTGTAGGTAAAGGTTACCAAGCTAGGATATGAGTTGAAGTTGTGTAAAGAAAGAGAACTGATAAGCTGATTCCTTCCCTGAAACCCCTGGCAAATAGTGATGCTATCTACATGAAGAGTGTACTTTGCAACATTTTGAATTCAAGGCAATTTGGTGATCAAGGGTACGAATTTGGAATTGAAAAGTGAGGTCTGTACTGAATATAAATTTGTGAGAGTCATGCTTAACCTTTTTTGTTGATAAATTATGTTTCCTTCTTTTAAAATGGGAACTGCATAATTTAACCTACTTTCTGGTTCTCTTTCAGAATTACTGAACCCAATTAATACTTAATTCATGCAAGTGTTTCAGTATTCATGGCATTTTATCTATTGCTAACCTTGGTTTTCTATTTTACAAGATTTGTAGAATGATTATCATTACTGTTGTATACACACTAAATTACTTTTGTGCCTTAAATAATGTACTTCTGTACTTAAATTATTCAGAAAATTTCAAGTGCACAAATATATACCTAAATCATTAACCATGAAAAGAACTATAGATTTAAAACCTGTTGAATGTGTAGAAAAATATTTAAACTACTCATAGAGGTGTTGTGATAAATAAATGTTTATGAAATAGTTACATGAATTTTCAAATGATATATACAAGGGGAATTCAAAGTATTACTATAACATTACAGATACTGTTATTAAACAGAAAACTTAAAAATGGGAATAATAACTATTTCTCCATACATCCCTCACCTTCTCCATACGCTTCTGAAAGTGGTTATTGCCATTTCTCTAACCTTTTCCATAGATTTCTCAGCTCTTCCACTTACACCATATCAGATTGAAGTTTTGGTATCCTTGAGGGACATATTAAATCATTTGAAGGTTTTCTTTTTACATTTGCTATATATATATATATATATATATATAATCTCAGAGATATATATATATATCTGAAGAGGTAAGAAGGTAAGATCGGCTTGTAGAGTGGATGGAATCTGCTTTCCCAACAAAATTCTCATAGATGGCCCATGCTCCCCTGGAAGACTGAGCAAGTAAGTACGTTGTCATGATGGGGAAAAAGAAAAACTTCTGTGGGCAACTTTCTTGGCTTTTTCTTTTTTTAAATAAAAAACAGTGTCGTTTTCAGTTTTCTTAACCCTTTTTCATTATAAGTTCCCATGATTATCCTTTGTCTTTCAGGAAAAAGTACCAAGATAACCCCTGGGGGTCTCCCCACAAAACAGTAACCATAAACCTCTCAGGCCAAATTTCATGAATAGATCCCTCAGAACCTACTGATGCGATTGGAAATCTTGAAGGCACCGCAAGGAGACCAAGATGTGGACTGCTTTGTGATACGTCTGCAGCCAGCCCTGTTCTCAGAAACCTCTTCAAACACATTTAATTGAGAGAAAAAGCATGCAGGTTTGAATTGTAAAACTGATAATATTTTTTAAATTTAACTTCCTATGTAAGTTATTTGAGTTATTTTTATGATAGATGGTAAAGCCATT